TTTTATTTACGTACTTATCTATATATGTATGTATTTATTCTCTTTATGTCCACCAGTGATATTTTGACCAGGAATTTGCTAAAAACAAACAAACACACAAACAAAAAATCCCCACTGATTTTAAACATTTTTTTTAAAAGTGGGTTTAATTTACTAACGTTTTACTTATTTCCAAACGCAGTTTGTGATGACATATGACTAGCTGAAGCACCGTTTATAGTATTTATTTCACTATTTAAATTGTAAGAGGAAGTATAACTGCTGAACACTTAAGTTTTTTACTAAAGTAAAGTAACCATATTTTTTCAGGAGTTGCACAATGTTTTTAGAGATCCACTTGCAACTTGAAAAATAGAGGAATAGGTGCCCCTCTGTCACCATGCAACCGTATCACTAATTTCCATCCACTGTTTGCTCTTCCTGTCATATGGATTGTTACTATGGAGAGCTCAAGCTGTGCTTGATGAAGAAGTCATTTGTTTATTTTTGGGTCACACATTTCCAGCTGCTAGTTTCTCTCATGTACCTTCATATCCTGGTTGTATACAACAGCGTATGCGCACTAAATGCATGGGATCATCCTGTGCTTGATGTCACAATGTTTTTATCACACAAAAATTTGTACTGGCTTCATCGGATATGGTATAACCATTGTACCCATTTTATCTCTTTTGTCTGGATTAATTTATCTAATATAAGCAATCTAACTAAGTGGTCGGAGGTAGTTATCAACCCGATAAGTTTACCCAGGGTTTCTCTATCTCGTTAAAAGCATGTTTACATAAAAAACCTGGTGGAGGCAGCATATAACCAATCATACTGATGAATAAGCAAGAGAACAACTAATTTTCCAGTGGAGGTCATAACTATACTATTAGAAAATGTGAACACCGTAAAAACTTACTACAAGCTGAAAGCGACAGTTTCATTGTTTCACTTCTGGTTTTTATAGGTAAATGATAATTATGAAAACAGAGTTCACATGTAGACTTAAACCTATGTGCAAATTTGTAATTTGCAATAAAGTTGTGTCAAAATTTTGCATAGCTGTCAAGGAAAAATCAAGAGAACCCAAATTTCTCATCGCGGAAACACAAAAACTTTATTTTTTCTGTTTGTTTATTTTGGTTTTCCCAAAGATTTTTCCAGAGAATTGATTGAATTGGTTGAACTGTCAGTAGGCGTGGATTTCATATCTCAAACATACCCTGTTGAACAAATTTGGCCGTGAGTTCTTTAGCACTGGACTAGCCTCATAACACTGGAAAGAGTTAACCCTGAAGTTGTGTTAATAAGCCCCAATCCTGCTTTATAAAACAGACCTCAGGTGTCTGACTGTCTGGCAACCCTACGAGCATGAACTGATGTACAAATTGATGAATAAAATTTACCAGAATACAGATAATTAAGTGACTTGACTGCAAACCTCTCTATTAATGTGAAAATGAAAAGTATTCCCATATGTGTGTGTTCTTTTCTCGTGTTACAAGTATTAATTGGCCTTCTCTTCTGATACCAGTTTTCTTTTCATCTTCCCCCAGAGTTGTGTTTTTTTCTTTTTTTTTTCTTTTTTTTTTTCTCCTTTTTCGGTGTACTGCCGCCCACCGCCTCGGTAACGAGTGCTTTTGTTGGGCTTTTTTCACCTGACCTGCCAACATGCCAGCCGCACTTACAGATTCCAGTCAGATAATCTGTGAGGTCTGGGCGAGCAATGTTGAGGACGAAATGAGGAAGATTCGGCAGATTATTCAAAGCTACAATTACATTGCAATGGTGAGTCTCTGGCGTGATGGCCTAATTTCTTTGTCCAATGTTTTTACACAGTTGAATTTGAGGTGAATTTTGTGATATAGTCTTCTTTAATTTAGTAGCTGTGGTTTTACAAATGACATTTGTCTCTAGATACCTGCCCTATTGGTATCTTTTTTTCCTGCTCCCATTTATTTATTTTTAAAATCTCTGTTTATTGATGTTTTCTGTGGGGGGGGGCAGTTGATCTCAAATAATATTTTCATATTTAATCGTAAAATTTACCTAAATGTCCTTAAAAGACTCATGACTACTCATTTCCTTAGCTTTCACTGCTCTCAGGCTCTTATTTCAGTGAGTAATGACAGATTTCTGAGTGAAGAAAAACTGTAAACAAACACTTGTTGATATTGTTCACCAGGACACAGAGTTCCCCGGAGTTGTTGTCAGACCGATTGGAGAGTTTCGGAGCACAGTGGATTACCAGTACCAGCTGCTGAGGTGCAATGTCGACCTCCTGAAGATCATCCAGCTTGGGCTCACGTTCATGAATGAGGAAGGAGATTATCCCCCTGGCACAACAACGTGGCAGTTTAACTTCAAGTTTAACCTTACGTGAGTGGACTCTCTTTAAATCCTCGTTCTTTTCATTGTGTTGCAACCATCTGAACGTTTTAGTGTACTGACTGTGACTGAATGTAGAGAAGAAGGGCTGACTTAATCACCTGCTGCATTATAACTTCATCTCCACCATATGTCTACATGTCTTTGGAACTAAGTTGAAATCATGTTAGAGCAATTGTAAATTGATTGTTGCACTCATAGACTGTATGTAAAAGATGGACACAGCTGGCTTTTACAGCACCTTCTGGTTAAAGTCCTGTAGTTAAGGGTCAAACTGCACACTGACAGTTTCAGACATACCCTGCTTTGCTGCCCTCTTTGACAATACAAAATGAGCATTATCTCATATTTGGTAAGTTTTGAAATACTAACTGACAATTTGCTCTGTGACTTCCTGATGAGATCAAAAGAGCCAAAGGGTTGTTTTTTTTCCCGTAGATGTCTATACAACCGCAGGTCTTTTTGCAGCTGCGGGATTCGCCACCTGCTGGCTGTTTAAAAAGGCACATTTCAAAGCGTGAAGCTTTTTTAAACAGTGTGGATTTACTGTCTAAATGTGCTTTTCTCCGGTTCTCCTTCCAGAGAAGACATGTACTCGCAAGACTCCATAGACCTGCTTCAGAACTCTGGCCTCCAGTTTAAAAAACACGAAGAGGAGGGAATCGACACGCTCTACTTTGCTGAGCTCCTCATGACGTCCGGCCTGGTGCTGTGTGAAAACGTCAAGTGGCTCTCCTTCCACAGGTCAGTCGTGTGTTTGCACCCTACACCACCTTTTAGTTGTATACAATAAAAAAAAAAAAGATTTTAGCAACAAATAAATGGTGTAACGTTGCTCTCTGCAGACCTTTCTAAAACCATGAATGAAGCTCAGCATGTGTAGTGTTAAAGCAAACTGAACCGTTTTCTTAGAGATATTTCTGCATCTTTGAGGTGTTGAACGAGTTTCTGAATCTGTTTCTTTTAGCGTTCTTTCTATCCCAGGAACTTTAACCAAAGAGCAGGAGGTTTGAAGGAAATGGATTCCATGGCCACCGGGATCTAAATTAAACTCCGAGAAATAATTTTAGTGTCCCAAAGAAGTAATAAGCTGAAAGAAGGGAACATTTGACTTCCTTTAAAGCTCCTGGGACTAAAAGTTGTGGATACTGGTAGAAATGAAAAGGCTGAACCTGATAAGTTTAGACATCTGTTACATTCTCCAAGACACAGTCCACCTAAATTCTCAATTTCATTTCGGGAAATAATTTTAAATAACAGTCTCGTTCCTGCAGAGAAGACTGTAATTAATTCTTTAGACTTCATCAGTGTAACCCAGCTGGCCTCTTGTCCTTTGTTCCTCAGTGGGTATGACTTTGGCTACTTGGTGAAGCTCCTGACGGATGCACGCCTTCCCGAGGAGGAGCACGACTTCTTTCAGATCCTCAACTTGTTTTTCCCAGCGATCTATGACGTCAAGTACTTGATGAAAAGCTGCAAGAACCTGAAGGTAAACCTGGATAATTGAGTCACTACATCTGAGTTGGTGCTTCGGCTAGACTTGAAGCTGTTAATGGCTTTGCTTTCAAATAGAAGACATCTGTCAGATCAGATCAGGATGAGTTTTGACAGATATCTGACCGTGGTGTGTTTGCAGGGAGGGCTACAGGAAGTGGCAGACCAACTGGAGCTGAAGAGGATTGGACGGCAACATCAGGCTGGGTCCGACTCACTGCTCACAGGCATGGCGTTCTTCAGGATGAAGGAGGTACGCTCTCACAGATACCGGTTTGATCTCTGGTAGAACTCACGATGGCATCTGCAGCATTATTAAATGCTCATGTTTGCTCTTTATCCGAACTTTGAGTTACTTTGGAGATCTGAGTCAAAAGATCAGATATTACAGTAGTTTAATGTAATTTACCACTTTAAATATTTAATGTTATTCACTAAACTCAAACTGGACTTATTTAGCATGTTTGTGAATCCAAACGTCCTTTCTTTGAAAATAAATATGAATTTAAACTAATGGAAATCAGATACAAATTAAGCAAGTTTTGATCAAACAACATTCCTGTTTGCACACCTGAGACAGTGTTTGAGTCATGTCAGTGAAACTTTATATTTTGTCTGCAGCTTTTCTTCGAAGACAACATCGACGACGCAAAGTATTGTGGGAGATTGTACGGCCTGGGCTCGGGCTCCACCCAACCCCAGAACGCCATCTCCAGCTCGGGCCAGGAGGAGACCAACAACAAGCACTGACTGAGCGCTCGACCCTCCAAGTGGAACATGCACTTGTTTTAAAACCCAACCAGCAGACCCCCACCACATGCTCTCAGACGTCCCTCGGCAAGACTTTACTAAATGCATATTTGTTTGAGCGTCGCCCTGCCAAGTGACTCGGTGACAGTGGCTCCTTCACCGCTTTCTTTTTAGTCACTTTTATGAGTATATGGCCATATATTCATAAGACTTTTTTAAAAAAGCTTTTTTTGTTTTCTTCTCTCTCACAGCATCAGTGACATCTTTCTTTACAGCATGGGACCAGCTGCTCGATCTTACTGTGATTTTTAGACCAAACATTGACACGAAAGGTCAGGTCTTTTTCATCAGCCGGACTCTTCTCTTGTTGCAGGGATTTTTTTTTCTTTCCTTCTTTCTTTTTAAGTTAATGCTGGAAGGGCCTGTAAATTAAAATGTATAATTTTGATGCAAATAAATGTTTTAGCTCTTTTCCACTTTGAGAAACTTTTAACAGTGGGAGTTGGAGTGTATAATTGTGCTTGGGTACTCACATGCTTCACTGGCCAAACTGCTGTCCTTCTGTACATTCACCCTCAGATCAAACTGTCCACGGTCACTTGTGCAGGTGTTGTGGTCACTTTTCTTTTTTTACATTCTTCATTGTTTTAAACAGTTGTACATTAAATTGTTTTGTATTTTCAATGCAAGCAAAAAGCATTTGCTCTTTTCTTTATTAAGTAGATTTACAGAAACACAGTGTGTGTCTGTGTGTAGAAGGGTTAATGATATATAGATGGACTCCATCACAGTTTGTGCTCATAGAGAAAATTCTGATGATTTAGGAGAGAGAAGATGAGCATTTAGCACAAATGTACAGCTTTCTGAAAACAGGAAAATCATCTCCTTCTAGGTTTTACCATCTTTTCTCCAACTCCTAAACCATTTGGTGCTACAGAGAAAATTCTGATGGTTTTTGAAAGGTGAGCTTTAATTTTACAGTCAAAATTAAAAAAATAAGTCCAAGCGGCCTGTACGATACAACAAAGACTTCTGTGATCATGTTCTTTTGAAGATGTTCATTGAAAAAGAAATTTGACATGTCAGTGTGTATATCAAAGGTGTGCTAAGACGACCATTAGTATTTTGAGTTTTTCCAAGGGAAGCTGTGTAGTGAGAGACCACCTTCACTACCTTCTGATGCACACACAGTTCTATAAGGTTACTCCTGAAAAGCTTTCCATGATCATTTTAAATCAGTTTTTTTTTTCTTAAAGACTTCTCTAGAAGCGGCAGATATTTTATGCATCGGTTGTTACAGTTAGGACTAAATATGTAGAAACACCAGTGAAACTGAAAACAGTTTGGTTATTTTGCTCCAAAATAAGGCTTTAAAAACTTTCCCCACACAGTCACCTCTGCCATCATCTCTTTTGAATTCTCCACTGGGTTTAAACTCAGGGCTCTTGTTCAGTCCGGCTGGACATTTATGTTCTTATGCTTTCAAAGGTAATAGATATTACTCCATCCAGCCCAGTTCTTATCAATATACAGTAGATCCATCAATCTGTGATTGTAACTATTATAGAAATAATTTGACCTTGTCCGGCTTCAGAATTCGTGAGACTCCTTCAGGCACTTTTAAATGTGGAATCAAGCTGACTCAGGACTTTTTATTAAGTTTGTTTTTATTGTAGAAAAAAACTGCAGAAATGCTGCTTTGAGTGTATCAGAAAACTCAAAGAAACATATCTGAATGAGTGTGTAAAGTCTGCAGTTTGGAACCACGTGCTTTTTGAGGTCTCTGACTGAACACATCTGAGCATGCTTTGTGTGGATGCAGGTAAACAGTCAGTGTAGCAGCGGAGACATGAAGTCAGACCATCAGGCAGGTCCCCAAACTGCCAGCAAATGAATCAGATGAGGAATCGCTGCGAGGCTTTCAGGACAGAGGGACTTGTCCCATATTTACGAAGCAGATCTTTAGCTTCTTGTAGGAGCGAGTCCGAGAAAGACATTGAAGATTTGCTGAGATGCAGAAGAACCAGACAGCATTCCACAACATCTGGGTGAGGGTACACCTGAAAGACAAAAACATTCATTCTGTAGCCCTGGGGATCAGTGTTTCATCCTAATAATATATTAAATTGCAAATATAATAATACATCTAAAAACTGAAGAGCATCTTACATCACAATAAAGAGTTCCTGTGACGTGTGAAGAGAAATCTGCAACATAGTGAACTATTTGTGCAACTTAAACTCTTCATACTAAGCACGTCTTGCTGTTAAGATGTCAAACTGTCTGGTTGTGCTAATCAGAAATGGAAAAAAAACAAGGAGCATGATGGGATAGCCAGCAGGTACCCTGAGGGTAGAGCTGTGAGCAGAGAAACAGGTCAAAACTGACACATGAAACTGCTCCCCTCTCTCTCTGTGATCTCTCTCTGTAGGTGGGAGATCATAGAGGGAGCACAAAAGTCCTTGGTATATCTTACTACTTGACTGTCATGTTGAAATGACAAATACTGCATGCACAGAATCAACATTAACATCCTCTCTAAAAGGTTTACTTCCACGACTGCTTTCAGGATACTTTGGGAGAGACGACTCTCTCTTGTAAGCTTTGGTTGTACCTTGAGTGTGTTTGGCAGCTCAGCCAGCTCTTTCTGATGCTTGGACATCTTCGAGGATAATGACAGCAGAGTCTCCGGGTCCTCAGAACTGGGGAGAAGAAACAGCCGCCTGATTCAGCAATCAAAGTTAATCACAAAGAAAATAAGACCACGAGATGGCTGAGACTGATGGGAATGAGGTTAGTTTTAGACATGGCCCTGCCAGATTTCAAAGAAAAAGTGATGCGCAGTAAAACTAGTTTTATAATCATGGCTATAGTGCTATGATCATGGGTCTGATAATCACATATAAACAATAAAAACATAAGAAGCTGGCACAAAGCTCTCACCCCTGCTCAGCCTCAGCAGAGTCCTGACTGTCTGAGAATTCCCTGGTGGTGGAAATCACTGCAGGGCTGTCATCCCGTTTCTCCCCAGAGTCGAGCTGCCCTCCCTGGGTCTGGCTGTGCTGCTGCACCATGGCGGCGAGCTGCTGCTGGATCTGTCTCACAGCTCTCTGGGTGGCCTGGCAGGCAGCGTGAGGCTCACACAGAAGGAGTGATGGATCTAAGCCCAGTTTATGAAAACTCCCACTCACAGGACGGTGGGTCTCTGCCGACTCCAACAGCCCTCCGTTTGACACCTCATCCTTCACTTCATCTTCAGGAGACGAGTCAGCCAACGACAGGGAGAGGCCGTTCTGGATCTCCTGGCTGCCTCCCGAGGTCCTCCACCAGCATTCATACAGGCGGTGGTAAAGGACAAAAGCCTGAAGACTGCTGGCAGCAGCTTTGGCTGCTTCTTCCGTGTGATGAAGCTCTTTGGGATGTTTCCGAAAACTAACACTGACATCGCCTGACCAACAGAGAGAAAAGCAATTTTCAGGAAATGTATTCATTATTAATGCAGATTAACCTGTTTATTCCTTTTATTTATTTATTTACTTAAAAGCAGAAAAGAGTACAACATACAAACTGCTCACAGGGGCTCGTCTGATTGTTTCTCTGTATTCTTTCAGGGTCTTTTAACATTACAATATTTAAGTGCCCTGAGGTGACTGCTACGATTTAGTGCTATATAAATAAAATTGAACTGGGTGGCTTTGCAGTATCTGCAACAGCTACAGAGCAATGCAAAAGGCATGTACCACTGCTACATGCCCAGAAAGGCCGCTGAGCTCAGTGTGGTCACCCTATTCACATATATACAGAGGCTCCTCCCTCTGCTACCACCAAAAATACAGTCTACTCCTGTGAGAGACACTGCAAGGTAAAGCTGCTAATGCCTGTCAAACACAGTTATTTTACATTGTCCTAACATTTAAATTCATGCATAAAAGTCTCATGAATCTAAGCTCAGATGTTACAACACTTGTCACCACAAGGTGTCGCCAAAACGACTGCGACAGAACTTAAATGCTCATCTTCTGGCTAAAATGTCAGTTTGCCCTTATTCTGTCTCAGTAGTGCAGCCACCACATTTAGGATTGATATGATGTACCCTGATGGACAGATGACTTCACTGTTCTGTTAATAGGACGTACCATCTGGGAACAGCAGCCTGCAGAGCTCTGCAGAGACACAGAAGTGTCCGGCCTCTCTCGGCCAAGCCACTGCGTGCCACAGCTCTGTCACCAGCTGATCATCATCAGCCAGTAACCAGCTGAGCACAGCACAGGTCAGGTGGAGGGATGAATGCAGCAGGACCTGCAGATGGAAAGGCACATGGACAAGATTTTAGTCTAAATTCATTAAAAGACTTCCTTTAGTTTTCTTTCAGTTCTCTGCTTCAAATATGCTTCTACGTCACATTTAAGCTGTTTTTTTATATCTTCTGTTGTGGATGCTTCAGTTCTTCTATACATAATACATTTGTTTCCAGCCGTATCATCAATTATGTACCTAGTTTGTGTCTGTACCTGTCTGAGAGGACTGTTAGCAGTGGGCATTGGGCTCTCTGCAGACTTGAGCTCCTGCAGAAGAGCCCCGACGCTCTGATGTGAAACAGCAAACTGCTCCTCCCACACATCTCTCACTCGATCCATGATGCTAATGTGACGCTCACCCGGTGACGCCCACGGGTGACGGAAGGCGCAGGATGCTACAGGACTAACTTCAGAGTCTCCCAGCATCTCAGAGAGCAGCTCAGCCACACAGAGATGCAGCCTGTGGACCTGCAGAGGGTTGGAACAGGTTTCACAGACTTCACAGACTTTCAGTTCATCTTCTAAACCCAAATTCACACTCCGACTACTAACCAGGAGGCTGTCTTGCAAACTCAGGACCTCCTGTGCTCCGACCCAGTCTCGAGCGGCTACCAGATCTTTGGCACATCTCAGCGACAGAGACTGAGCCAGAGAGGCCTCTCCTGAGATTCTTGCTAGACTGGCCGCGGTCCTCAGTGACAAGACGTCATTCTTCCTGGCGATGACCTTGGCTGCGTCAAAGCTGGCATCGGCAGCGAGGTAGCTGGGAGATGATGTCAAACCAATGAGAGAGGACCCATTTAACAATGTTTGCAAAGCAATTTAAACAATCATTAAGAGCAACTTTAAACTTTCTAAACACTTCTCACCACTTAGCTGCTGCAGAAAAATGCCCATCTTTCTCCAGCACTGCAGCCCAACACGTGTACAGCTCCTTCAGGAGCGGTTCGTCTGCTGGCAGCCGGGCTTTAACCAGCGCTATGGCCTCCCTGATAATAACAGATGAACAAAACATATCACCAGAATATGGCCGGAAAACTTTTACTTTTGCTGTATTTTTGTAGCAAACAAACCTGGAACAGAACTTTTTTATTTAGAGGAACAAAACAAAGCAACAGTAAATAAAGCAAACCTGTAAAGCTTGTGGGTGCGCAGCAAGTCGACTGCCTCGTAGAGTTTGTTGATGGACAGCAGGTGGGACGCCGCTTTCAGGTACTGCTCCTGCAGACACAGCTGCTTGACGAAGGCCTCCACTGTCCGGCTCCACACCACGAACCCAGCTGGAGGAGCAAATAAAACACTTCCCATTACACCAAAAGCAGAGAAGTCGATTGAGAGCTGAATAAAGAAATAAAGCCGTTTATATTTTTAGCAAATATCGACCCCATTTGTTGACATGGCCATAAGATGACATTTACCCTGTCAGCAGCTGATATTTATCCCTTGGCTTACATACATTTTGCACTGGCTAAATGTTCAAAAACAAACCCTTCAGCTGATCCAGAAAGCTGCAGCGAGTGCGTTAACAGGGACAACAAAGAGAGAGCATATTTCCCCCCACACTGGCTTCTCTTCCTCCCTCTGGAAGTCACAATCAAATTTATGTCAAATCAAATGCTTCTCCTCACATACAAAATCTTATAATCAAACCGTGTCATATGTAAAAGACCTCATAGTACCGTACGATCCTAACAGAACACTTCGCTCTCAGACTACGGGTTTACTTGTGGTTCCCAGAGTATTTAAAAGTAGAATGGGAGGCAGAGCCTTCAGCTTTCAGGCCCCTCGTCTGTGAAACCAGCTCCCAGCTGGGATTCAGGAGACAGACACCATCTCTACTTTTAAAATTAGGCTTAAAAACTTTCCTTTTTAATATAGTATACAATTAGGGCTGGATCAGGTGACCCAGAATCCTCATTTAGTTATGCTGCAATAGGGTCTAGGCTGCTGGGGGCA